AGACTATAAGCGGTAATCGAAAAGATTAGAGTTTGAAGATGTTATACAAGGAGTATAATTCAGTGAAAAAAAAGGGACATGAAGAATTCAGAAGATTATGTATCAATACTCTGAGTGATCATAAACAAACGAACACTGGGAAAATATAGACCTTTGTAAAAAAAACAACAACAACAAAGAAGCCCTACAGTTGACGCTTGTCTAATTGATTATTCTGAATGTATTACTACTATGTTACACTAATGCAATAAAGAAAACCGATATGACAATAAGGGTGTTAAGATCATAGACTTTTAAAAAATCCATATTAACAATATGATGGATAACCATCTATAAACAACTAAATATCAATAAACGCACCCAATTTTGTATAAGACAGAGAGAATGATGGTGACATTTGTATTTGTTTTCTTGTTGATAGTTAGACAAACAGATATAAGGATAGACATAAGCAACGTACACTACAGCACAACTTAAGCTATATTAAAAGAAAAGAGGATAATGAAATAAAAATTTGATTGATTACATGTTTAAGTATTTCAAGGGAAGGAAGCGAATACAACAGTGGGGACATTCCCTTTGACAACAATTAGGCCATTATCGACAGTTCATCATATTTGTGTGAGGGCTGTGATACTGCCCGGGTGCCCAAACCGAAGCAGGTGGTTTTCTTAGGGGGCCACACCCCGAGCCTTTGACCTGGAGGTCTGATCCACAAGGCAGTGGAGCATCGTGAGGAGATGCAGTCCCATGGAAGCCGATGACCAACAATTGGTTCATACGCCATTTGTTCCCGCAGGATACTGGAGCCCATGTGCACCATTGATTTGGAATCCGGTTAAAGCGCCGGACATTCGCTTTTCGTCCTCTCATTTTCGTAAACAACACCCCCGCCACGAGAAGGCAGTGAGTAGGACTTCCCTTGCAGAGGCTATATACGCGTGGCCGTGTGAGAGCATTTCGAGAGGGAGAGCGGACTCTCCCCACTCTCGGCCGTACCAGGGCATTTGGGGGCTTTCGAGAAGGAGAGCGGATTCCCTTCACTCTCGACCATACCAGGGCATTTGGGGGCAACAATTAGACCGCACGATTTTGTTGATGGGTTCACCACTTTAGTGACCCAGGATATGACTCCAGTGAGATCATATGAATGATTGTTATTGAAATACACATATCGTCAATTCTCGTAAATAATTATCGACTTAGATCGCGTTAGTGAATAACAGAATTAAATAAATCAAATACAAGAATGGATTTTGAATATGTATATTTCATGGACTCATTGATTTGAACAGGTAATCGGGGAATGAAGCGAAGCGAAATAACGCGCAGTGAATGCATATGAGCCAACTCCCTTTAACCGAGGGTTAATCAATATTTATGGTCACACAAGAATAAGCTACATATATGTGATGAATAGGATAAGAAATGTACACGCACATACGCTCATATAAAGACAGTGAAAGTTGATAAGTCAATAATTAACAAAATGTGACTCAAGTAGAATAAATAGATAGGTCTGTTCGAAAGCTAGAATAAGTTATATAGGCTTAACATAGTAACCAGCACTACACATTCATCATTTCTCCGAGAGCTCCTTAACTATATCTCTGTACTCCATAAATCCAGAAAGTAATCTCAACCCCGTATCTAACATGGATTTCAAACAATTCAAAATAACTCACATTATCAACATAAACACAAAATTAACAAAGAAACTATTCTTAACATTCATCGATTAATAAGCCTCAGTAGAAAAGTATTTTTAAGAAATTAAAATGCATGTTAAACTACGTCATTGCTGTTAAGATCAAAACTGTCGAACAGGATCATTTCTTTTTCATGACAAGAATTAAACAAATTATATAAATATCTCAACCCTATATAAAATCAGCCGGTGCTTAAATAACTCAATGGTAATATCTGACTATGATCGGATCCTACACTGGTTATCAGTTTCTCTATGATTGAAGATCTACCTTGCTAATTAGCATCCATCTTGGTCAAGAAGAATTTCCTGTTGACTGATGTTAACCATCAAATATCTTCATGACAATGTATGATCACACATCTAACAGACAGCTTGAGAATAATTCATCTACCTGATTTATCAAAAAAATGACCTTATTCATTTTGATTTCTGAGCTTATCTTCAATAAATTATCATCATTTGGAATAGTTAACTAGCTTAACTTCAAATACTAACTCAAGGCATTTTGGTCATAAAACGATTGTATGGTGTTTTGGAAAGAAGTTTTTTGTTTCAACTCATTGATCGTTACTCAGTTTCACTTGAATCATCAAGGATCTATTCCATTCACACTAACAAACTATCATTTCTTTATGCTTCAGTATTAATGAAATGTTTTCTTCCAAAATGGGAATCTCTTAGAACTGTCAGGAAGCTAGTTATTTTACTTCTAAAATGTTATACTGAAGTGTTAGACTTTGGAAATACGGATTTTATCTTAGCTTTTCCTGTTCTCGATTGTAGCTTCATTAAAAAGATTTCATTTTGTACACGATTACCCCTAAAATCTAGACGAATGTGCATGTGAAAGTGAATACTCAATAGAACGTCGGATATTTATTCGGTTGGGATTAGTTGACTTATTGATCAACCACAAGCTTATAAACCCAGCTTTGAGCAATCCATTGATTGAATAAAGACTAGTAATACTACCCGAAGTGCAGTTCGGACTTGAAACCTAATAATAGGTTGGGAGTTGACTATTTAAACCAACGGTTTGCTAAATAATGATTGATTGGTATCATTCTGTATTATCAAGCTTTGAATAAGAATTGACGAAAATACATCAACAGTAGAATGGTGATGATAGGAATCCCAGCAATATGTTCGAAAAACAAGTAGAGCTGCACAGTTGATATGACCCATATCACTCAAAATTAAAGTAGAACTCGATACAACAATACACAAACCGAAGTCACCATAACACATGAGCACAACAATATGAATAGTAGTCCAAATAATAATAGTATAAACGGAAACGACGAACTGAATACTGGAAATATATTCCGAAAAGGCAAATATGAATAGATATATTGTAACCCAAGAGCTGGAGGAAGACGGAGAGTGAACTCATCTACGATGTCATACGTCTTCAGTTATTGATCATACAGATCCTAATAATGTAGTCAGTATTTACCAATACGGTTTAATCTAATGGTCAGTGATTTTATGAACTGACGGCACGGTTTGGTTTGATCACCCTTGACTTTATTTCGTGGATTCCAACATGGTAGTATAAAAAACATTACACTAGGTTAGCTTTATTAATTAACCCCAATTTAGTGGGTAGTCTAATTGAAACATTTGTGAGATGATGATAAAGTTCGATGAGCGCTTATTTGTTTTCATAAAACAATTTGAGGAATATCTGATACCATAGAACACCTATGTACTAATGAAGAAAATTTAGTTATTAACCCAAATTGGTTTGTACCTTCTATTAAGTTAATCTTTCATTAGTCAGTCAGCTACAACGTAGGACCAGGCACATATATGCATCGGTCCAAGTTGCCATACCTTATTAGCACAACAAGATGGACGCCGGATTCATAGAAGTAGTTAATTCAGTGGTGATAATATATAAAAGAAAGATTGGATATAAGGATACAGTGCAGGAAGAAAGAATTAGTTCGTAGAAAGAAAAATATGAAGCGATTTTCATCTTAGTTTAAGAGAAGACAGAGAGTGTATACACCGACGCCATTGTGGTCAATTCTGAACCATGTCACCAAGTCTCTAACCATTGGTTACGATAGTCACACGGACCCCAACCAAGTGGTCAGCATCTCCCAACAATCTTTCATTAACAAGTCATCCTTTAATAGATATCCATCCAACATCAAGAAAAGACTAAATAGAAAATCTTTTGTACGAAGTCAATAAAGATATGTTACCTCACCTAAACTAACTAACAAAAAACAACCGAATAGTATTACAGTTAGGTGATTAATTGCAACATACATATTACTAAGTGGTTTGTAGTATATTTAAGCCATGGAGCCAATATATAAGAAAATGACGCATAGGGTACGAATAAATCATCTGATGAATTAACGATAAACTACTACAATGACACTATTTGGAATCATTTGATTAGCTTTGAGTTAAACTTGTACATCATTTACGAATACAGCCAATTGTCCAGTAGATCTTTCTCAGTCTAGTTGGAGTGCATATAATATCAAAAGTATATACAGTTCTATCATTTAACAACTCACTGAAACAAAATTATTTTTTAAAGTGACATTCTGACTAGCTCGGAAAACCTTAGACTATAGAGTCAGTCAAACGCAACTAAAAACGTGACACATGAGTAGATCGGTTGCCACACATCATTAACACGAGACGAAATTGTCAGGACAAATCCCATAGCATAGGTAGTAACAGGCACTGAAGATATGACTCAAAAAATATAAATCAGAGGAACAAAATTTTTTTATGAGGAATTGAGAAACTAAGAGTGAATGCACCTCCATCATTGTGAACAATTCTGGACTATGTCACTCAAAGTCTCTAATCACTGGTTACGATAACCATGTGGACTCCAACCAAGTAGTTTACACATACAGCCAGTGACTTAGTGGACTAATGTCAGGTTTTGGTTTGGCCTCCCTCATCTTTCTCCCAGCCTATTCTTATGCCATTCATCCATGAGCATCGAGGTAGTCAGTGTATGGGCATACGTAATAAATGTTCTAACCATCTCAGTCGATAAAGATTCACCACTTCGTCCATCAATTTGTCATATTTACCTAGTACTCTGCGCCTAGCCTCAGAATTGCTAACTCAATGATCCTAAAATATACGAACAACGGTTCGAAGATACTAGTGATCGAATACTAGTATCCCTTATTTTTAAATTCCATGCTTAGCACCTATAAAGTAGAATGAAGAGAACTGGTTGATAGTAGAGCTACAGAAACAAGTCGAAACCATGTTGTCTTACAAAATACGTATGAAAAGAGAGAAAAATAGGGTGAAATATATTTACGTATGAATTGACAAATAAATATTTATGAGACTGTACAATTATGGTTATGGTTCACTTTATACCAACATGATAATAATAATACCAACAATCACATGAAATAATTAGTTTCAAATATACATAATGATACTTGTTAAATAAGCCATTCATCTCTCTGCGTACCCAAATTCGCAAGAATCACTAAAAATGAAAATGAAATGAGAGAACTAACAAATAGCTTTGATAATGGAGAAACATTAGCAATTAATAAAGGTCGAAATATCTTGTCTTGTCAACTGGGACAACACACTCCTGGATCACTTACATGGTATTGTCACTAAACAAGAGGAAACTCGTGGGGGTGGTGTTCAAACAGCCTCACTTTAGATAGACAAGTTTCATAAGGGTTGAGTAGAATTATTTGCATCCCAGTGTTATTCACTAGACTGAGGTAATAACAGAGCTAAGGGGCCAATAGTGCCTTGCGCAACTCTGGTCCTCACTGTGTGGATTGATTTTATTTGCTATGTCAGCATAACCATTGACACATTTATACAGGTACGTAAACCTTTTAATACATCATCAGAAATCGGATTTCGGCATAAAATTTAACTGATTTCATAAATACATACTGATGTACAATACTTGTCATAAACTAATTGTGGACCTCCAATCGATTATGTATAATTTGAGTAGTTTACTTGTCACTTCATTGTAACAGACTACCTATTCACAATCGGCAAGTTTATCACCAGACAAGCCTACAACAATGTCAAATATGTTATTAAAAGACGGCTTTAGAATGCCACTTATCACCGCCAATTTGGAACAATAGAAATAAGTGATGGTATTTTTTTACAAGGTGCTCAGGACAGTTATCGACTTCCTACATATGCTCCTGAAACAATGCTGACTGTACAGAGGTGTGATAGCAGTAAGGTGTTTCCTTCAGACACCCAGCATGACAGCGATGCTGCCTTCCCACAAGGAGGGGTGGGGTTAGAAAAGGTCGATCCTAAAAATGCACACCTCGCCTTATCCCACGAATATCCGTCTCCGGCAGCAAGGTCTCAACAAGTACGCAGCTAACACAAAAATTACCTCAAGCAGTTGTCACTTGAGCACTGTGGTCACGCTCCCAGGTCACTAAGACCACCTCTAATCCAATTTCCAGAAGAACCCTTCCACGATATAGGCAACCGGGAAGTGATAACCGCCCTCATACCTCTAACAGCACTCAAGAAACACTGCTTTGTCTCATTGAAAACATTTATTGATATCATGGCTAGATTATATTTCGAGGCTTTAAAACTTAAAACATTTTTATATACTATTTTACCTGATTAAGAGTACATAAAAGTGCTAGGATAGAAATAATCGAAAAAGTTAACACAAAAACCGATTTACTTTGCATGAGATTGTTGTCGAGGAAAGACAACCGAACGAGCGTTACAGTTGCTTGGTTGAATTAAAATACGCTGGTTTGTTGGTTGACTACTCGACAATCGAATTCCAGGGGATATAGTAGGCGAAGTCACAGACTTTAAAATGTTACTAGCTGTATTATTTACAGTCCCAGGACTAACAACTTTTAGGGGACGGTTTGTTACAGATACATATTTTGAGTGGGAACCAATAGGTGCTCGTTGGGATGCGAATGATACATAAGGAATCGATGGATTTGAAGGACATACTGACGAGTTAGTTACAAGAGAACCACTTCTGTTTGGTCGCTGGGTAGTAGGTAAATTATTGGAACTAGCAGCAACTGGTGTGACTAAATGAGTATTTGAAGTGATTGTAGGCGGCGATCCTGGATTACTCAGGCTCGATTTCAAAGTATTTCCAGAAGAACTTAGCAGCCGTGATGAGGTATCATTATCGCCACTAGGAGTAGCGGAAATGGTTGTCTTTGAATGAACTGAAGGGATTTGGTATTGTAACCTGGGTTTAGTAGATATAAGAGATGAATGACCAGACGGATGACTGTGGTTCGTCTCTATTTGGTCATGCGAAATCCAACGATCTTCCTAAACAGGGAAGTAATAGAGACTTTATTAGAGTTAAGGATTAAAACATTCTTTTGATAACTGAATAACTTCAAATACATAATACATCCGACAGCAACACATCGGCACAACATCAAGTGATGAATCTAACAGTATTCTGTCTCATATTAGCATTGAATATGTGATGGTTATGTTTAACATTCAAGTACTTTGAGTCTATCTATGAATAATAATTCGTACGTCTCTGTTTCCAACTTTAAAAAGGTATATTTTACACCTATTAGTTAGGATATGAAGATTATCAGAGACAAAATAGGAATAAATATTTTAGTATGTAGATAAATTCAACTTAAACTTACATTTTCTTGTGCTGAGATTGAATTCAAAGCTAATAAACTGGTTGGGTCACCGTGGAAACCCGCATTTTCGTTATGATCTATGAATGAAAAAGAAAACGAGACTTTATAGTTTAAACTCTAGTCGAAAGTTTTGCTTGAGTCAACGAACACAACAGCAACCGACAGGCTGCTAATTTACTTTTAAAGTAACGTTTGTTGGACAGAACCGTTGTGAAAATCATGGACTTTCAGAATCAGTGTGATTTACTTATGATCAGTGGTTGAAAGCAATGTACGACATTATTCATTAATTATCACAGAAGCAGATGTATTCACTCTTTATTGTCCTTTAGGTTCTGAGTTCCAGTATTCAACCAAACATACCTCTTAATTCCTTCTCGAACCATATTCTAGATGTTAAATTCTCACGATAATTCTCACTCCTTTGTAATTACTTGTATCAACTTCATTTGTGGTGTGAGAATCAAGGCTGACGTACATTTATGACAGACTACGCTGATCATGACTAACTGACCAAGATTCCCTTAGTGACCTACCAACTACCAATAACATTAAGAGTGGTGGGTGAACCCAAGTTACCTCGCATTATTTGAAAATGGATTGTCCTTACATAGCACAGTTCCTTAGAAAATCAGACAGGGATACTACAATGACTAATTACGAGTTAATGCAAAGAATAATAGTAATATGGGATGTTACATATTAAAGACTGGTGACTCATGACGCTTGACGTTAACAAGGTGCTTCATCTGGATGGATCTCACCGCATAAATACGCAGCCAATGTGAAGTACTTTCATATTTATCTAAAGTGATCTGAGATTTATTGATAGTGATCATTAAGAGCGAAGTCTTGATCGCATTTTGCCTCTTCCCATTAGACCAATCTATAGTGACGGACTGTTATGTCGAAGTGAAACCCCAAGGACTATGGACTTTATTTCAATAAAGTACAATGAGAAAGAGTATAGTACGTCTTTTCTTAAGAACAAATATCTACTTCAGTGGACTTACCAGCGACATGCGGGTCATTCTTTATTTTTTTTAGATCCTGACAATTCTCGGAAAAATTCACAGGACGTTTATTGCCGGCAGAGATAACCGATCTAAAGTGTTATAAGCAGACAGAAACCTACTTTTGAAAAGGTTTGGAGTCGTCTCTGACAGCGTTCCGACAAGTAGAATGATTATTGATCAATTCATCCAGTAGTAAACTAAAATTATAAGCCGTAGTTGACGAAGACCCAAGAACTTACTCTTTCTCACTAGAAACTATGCGGATAATATTGTTTAACTTAGTGATTTCGGATTTCAGAGTCTCATTTATCTTTAGACATGTAAGAAACCAAAAGACAAACACACTTACCACGATCTGTTGTTTGCACAAGTTCTTAAGCATTTCATATCTTTCCTCTATTGAGTCTTTAAATATATAAAAGCATTTTCATTTATAATACCTTGGGATAATTCCTTCATTTCGAGGTAAACGACGTTTTGTCCAAAGTGGCCAGTGAATTGGAAAGCTTGTTGAGTCCACACAGGGACTAAAATACATGAAATTGTAAAATGGCCAAGTTTCGTAGCGAATTTCAAAACCGGATGCACGGAATAAGATGGACTTCATCATCAACTGGTAGATGAGACAGTGAATGTTGTAGAGTAGACCGAAAATAATTTTTTATACATCATTATTCATTATTTGTTGATAGAAAGTTGAGAACTGTTTATTATAATTTGTTTTAGTTTATTTCAAAGTGCGCGCTCTAACCTGGGCGCAAAATCGATTTCCTCAAGAACGTAGTAGGTTCTATATATACACTTAGAACTAACAGATAAATAACTCCTTCCTTTCTTCTTTCCGGTTTGGTAGTCGAAACGTTATGTATTCTTCAGATGTATATTGTCTGTTTTCAGAAATGACAGCCTTTTTTAATATTAGGTCGGTATATTGTTATGCATAAAATGCAACAGTACATAGTTAACGATATAATGCAGGTGGGTCTCTAGTGCAATACTCTAAGTCTTTAGTTTGGTCAGGAAAGTGTCAGTCTGATGCGGCGTTTTCATTAATGTCACAACTATGTTAAGAATCCCAGATTCAGATTTGTGTATCAGGAACAGAAGACATACGTCCTGTGTTAGTTCTTTTTTGTAAGCTTTTGACAGTTTCCAACCAATTGTAGGGTCAAACATCACTTTTTCGAGTGACAACTTTCAAGAATTGATGACCCTGTATGAAAACTTGTGTGGCATGATATTTCGTTTATTCTTCGCTTTTCTACTCGTCCGCTATGTCGTTCTAACCTGGTAAGAAGAAATTAAGAGTGGATATCGCGCCCAAAACCATTTCTTAGTGTTCTATACGCTAAAATCAGGTCACCCAATACGTGCTACGACGGAGTTATGAAGTCTGAATTCTCAAGTCGCTTTCGATAGAGTTTTGCTTTGAGCTGGATGGTTTGGTCGTGGAGCTCTCATCATTCTTCTGGACGACATCATTAGCACAAAATTCTACGGCCAAACTATCCTCAGGGAATAAAACTCCATCAAATTTATCCACCTTAGCTATAAATATCCACCATCTTCTCAAGTCTCTATGTGTATGGTAAACCCCGGAGTTCTGGAGTTGCATAGGTAGCTGCTCTCTGTACTTTTTCAGTATATGCGAGTCACCTTTTAAACGAGGGTTTGTAGCCTGAACGCACTTCTAAAATTTGAACCTCACTAAGTATGTTCACACTACAATGAAAACAGTAGTATCTATATTGGTCAGTGACCGTCCTAAGGCCCATTGGGCTCTGAACCCCTTAGCTGCGACCCTGCGGCCTTAAAAATATGACTCACTGTCAGCCCAAAATCCTTGAGAGACGGATATGGGTACGGACTCTTCCTCATGCTGTAACTGTTTGCATTTTTATCCAGTGTGAATGTAGGCGCACTCGGCCTCGTCGATAGGCATTAGTCATTCTTTAGATCATTTAATCGCAACATCTAAGTATGCCAAAGGTGCACATGCATCTGCATCTCATGTTTCTCACCAGATTTTTGCATCAGCTTATAGTAGCATTGGAGACTCAACTATACTTTAGAGTTCGTACTATATAGAAAGTAAAGGATCTATGGTGTAGTTTATTTGGTCTTGTCGTTTTTTACGTATCTTAAGTGACTTTACACACTGGTGCCACGTTTTGGTTTGCCCTTCCCTAACTTTCTTCCATCACTATTCAGCATTGCGCGTCGTAGTAATCTGTGTCCAGGCATGCGTAACACGTGACCCAATCATCTCAGTCGATGAAGATTCACAATTTCATCAACTGAAACCCGGCGTCTAACCTCACTGTTACCTAACCGGGGGAGAAACACATCCCAAACATTCTGGCATTATTGCTTAGCGCTACCACAAGACTTCATTTTATCAACGTCTTCAGCAAACGGGACTATATCATCTGCGTATTCTAAGTCGATAAGTGGATGGGATCTCTTATGTGCTGGAATGAAGTTAGAGCGATTGTGATTGCTAAAATTTTGCAATCAAGTGTTTTCGATGACTTTACTTCCAAATTTCCCCAATTTATAGACTCCATTAAAGTCACCTACTATAGGACCTTCACACCTGTTTGACCAAAATGTAAGTTTACTTAGGAGTAAGTCATTCTTTGTACATTCTGGACTGCGGTATACCACAACTAATTCAATATCTTGGCGTTTACATTTCAGCAGGCAACGCACCAGTTCACATGTCCCTGAGTCGTGTGCCACTGTCTCGACGGTTCTTAGTTTAAGGTGCTTTTTGTGTTCAGGATAACCGCACCACCCCTGCAGTTTAGTCTATCAACGCTACTGAGTAAAAAACCCATCAATTGAACTTCACTGTCATACACCTCTGACGTTAACCATGTTTCTGAGACAGCAATGACATCAGGGTTTTCTATTCCCTCCATTTTCTTGAGCCCTGCCATTTTATTTTGTAGGCTGCGAACATTCGTGTAGCACACATTTAATTCTGTGAAGAACTTCCCTTACCACCTAAAATGGTTCGGGGATCTTTACACTCCGAACTTTTACAAGTTGAAAACCCTTAAGTAAGTGGCTTTTTTACTGTTTCGCAGGTGCTCATTTATTTCTACTTCGGCTTATCGTCTCTTAATACGATCAACCAGGCTAAGATCCTTATGGATGTATGTTCCGGATCCAATTAGTTTGACCCTTGTGGGTTTCCCGAGAATTAGGTTTCTTTCTTCAGCCGAAGCAAAGGTGACCTTTAGGAGGCGGCTTTTCTGCGTACTTTCAGAACTCACTCTTTGTTCTACTTCATAAAACCCATGAATGTTAACTCCTGCTACCGTTTCTAAAAGTAGCTTGCTTATTGAGGACTTGCTTTGTCTTCCTATTCAAATCTAGCATTCAGTTTCTTTTCGGAAGACTCTCAACTTATGAAAAATGACTGACTTCTTAGCAAGGTCCGTCTTAACAAGCTGTGGAGTTTTGTCGCCTGAACTCTCCCTACAGTTCGATTTGGCGTCAAACTCAGAGGTCTTACTATGCTTCTTTTCCTGGGTGTGACTGTAAGCCAATCATTGAACCTATTTTGTCAAATCATCTACACCGTTCAGGCTTTGAGTATCCATAGTTTGTTTTGCGTTGATATGGTAATCCAGAGCTGAAATCCTCGTCTCATTTATCTTGCAGCTCCTCATAATTTGTTTCTTCGCGTGCTTTTTCTCTTTCCTTGTAACTATGCGTACATCTGTGTATTTGTTATCCGCTACGTTTTGGGGTGCACCTTGATGGTTCCATTCAACTCCAAAGCCGGACTCATAATAACTCTCTGCTTCCTCATAAACTAACAGCCGCTCATCCACTGTTGGCTGTTTATCAGAGTGCGTCTTTCTAGCTATGTCTAGCAGCTCAATCGCTTCAAGGATCGGTAGAAACTTTGTAGAACAACATGCTTTGCACAGCCAACGTAATAGCGGCTAGCAACACCTTTTATATGTAGCCGGTGTAAGTCTGGTGCGCGCGTTGTGCTAACAATTATTGCAGTTGCTACATTGCATTCAGTCCCTGATCCAAAAGGAGTATGTGGGTCTACCACAATGATGTTTTACTTTCTCCATTAAAATTGTTAAGTGATCTCATAGAGAGGACAACACAAAAAATCTCTAAAAGCGCGAGGAAAAGAACCAATCCTTAGAGTAAGTATTTTTAATGTTCTAAAAGTGATAGACATTTAATACGGAAGTCTGAGACTTCTGTTTTACTGTAACTGAGAAATCCAACTTAAATAATTATCAAAGATGCTTCTACACCTTCAGATATATTTAAAATTAAAAGATTTACTCGACGAGGGAAAATACCACTGCACATTTTTAATTACGCACACTGTACTAAGCATTTAGTGCTTAAAAAGCTATTTTATTAATAAAACATATAATACACGATCAGCTGGCTAAATAATCTTGCAGTCCCGGTGAATTCCCTGTAGAATTTAGGATCTTAAGTTCCTACTATTAACTAATAACAAAGTGTTTCAAATCATCTGTATATCATCTCACTCGTCCATTACTACACTTAATTTCAATTAAATCACTCTAAGGTAGTATGCTGAAAAGAATAAACATTACTCGTTCGGTCCTGTGCCACACGAAATTATTCTTCCTTATGGTTTAAATCGCATAACAACCGAAATCATGTTGTTTATCACTAAAGTTTCAATCTGACTTGTTTCTATTTCTCAACATATCTAAGGCTAGCACTTTTATTCTGGATAAATTAGTCACTGATGTTTTAAAGTCAAGGTTTTGTAACTTGGTATCAATCAAATAAAATCAGTCAAGTTATGTGACACTAGAATCTACGAAATTGTTTGCGTTAGTACTTATTGAATAGAGTTTAGTTACCAGGCAACGGTTTTACGCTACTGGATTGTCAATTGATTAAAACTATCGCAGAACCTGGCCCATTATTTGCCTCCTAATATACAACAATCCTTATGCTATAAATAAATATGTGACATCTATTGTGATATCTAACATGGTTACTTTGGAATTATATGTACCGGATAAAACCTAATGGTTGGTTGGTTAGAAAGATATAAGCATCAGTCATAGATCATATAGAGCGTACTTATATATATGTTCAAGTTGCTATTTATATCAACACTGAATAAAGAAAATGGTAAAATGAAAGACTTATCGAAATAATTATGATGATATCGATATTTAGTAAATGTACTTCACGTAATGCATATGAAGTCAGTCGGTTATATGCAACATATAGCCTAACACGAATGTGCACTGGTTCAAGTTAACATAGCATACTAGCATAGCAAGATGAAACTCAGAAATTTGAATTACTAATGGTAGCAAAGATTAGTTTTAGACAATACGATTAAAAAAAAAAGAAGGGGTTTATGTATATATGCATGCCATGTCACTTATGACACCAGACTCGAAATTTGGTAGACAACTACTCCTAAGTCTACTAGGCTCTCCATCACTCAAATTAACTATGAAATATACATGCTGTACCCGTGGATCAGTTCCCGAGTCACTAATTTCATGAACTGACGTTGTGCCATAGTATGACAGTTACCAGACTTTTCATTCACTCACTACTTTGTTTAGCGCATAGATTCATAGATCCTTCTTTGTCAAAAAGCATTACCCTTCTTTATTTCATTACTACAGTTGCTAATTATGTTCTCTTAACGATCTGCTCATTTATAGCAAAAATCAAACCTATATGTGTTAGTTCCTGTTATCATTTTTTAACTAGCTTTTAGAGTACGTTTACGTAGACAAGGGTATTGTCAAAACATTAGTCGATTCATGATAATTAACACTATCACTTTTCGTGGATAATTCTACACATATTTCCCTCAATCTACCTGGATTTCTTATAGATTACAAATCTATCAATAATGTTGCTAGTCTATTTATTTGATTCAAAAAGTAATGGCTGATTCGTCAAAGTCTGACTTTCAACCTATAAGTCACATGTACACGCTGCCCCTAACCTAACTTTTAGTTGGGTAGCAAATTGATATAACGAGTCCTCAATATGTATCGCTCAAGGTTGACTACATGAACTAAATCATCTGCTCTGATGCAGAATTTAACTAAGAAGCTATTTGGCTTAGTTTGTTAATAGATTTTGTAGTTATTTGTATTTCGAAATAAATGTTTGACCTATGTTTTTCAATCTTTCTAGCTCGATTCGATGACACGTCATTCAAAAAACTGCACAGCCCATACAGTATATACTTATTATGAGCGGAAAAATGATGCACACAGGTCAGGTTTTGGCACGCAGGAAATCCGTTTAGGAAAAGATTCAGTGAAAGCTCTTGATTGTTGCTCTCTTTGTCTACAACCAGCAAAGGATCCTGTCATTACAAATGATGGATTCCTCTATGATCGAGCAGTAGTTCTGGAGTACATTGTTTCTCAAAAAGCTGAAATTCAACGAAAACTTAAGTTGTATGAAAAACAGAAAGCTCGTCTAGATGCTGAGACAAAAATGATTCTCAAGGCTGAAAAAGAGGAAGAAGCCCGACGATTTCTATCAATGAATACTTTAGATACCCACTCAAAAGCCTCTGCACAAGCTGCTGAAGCAGAAGCTTTGGCCTCATTGTCCAATAAACGCAATGGTTTGAATGAAACAACTTCATGTTTTTGGGCTTCTGGTTGCAAATCAAATGAGAAACTGAACAAAGAACTCTTAGATAAACCTGATACAGTTGTTCGCTGTCCAATGAGTGGCAAACCATTAAGGTATAAAGATTTAGTAGGTGTTAAATTCACTACGTTTGAAGATGACTCTAAGGTGATGGGTTTTGGTCAAGATAAACCAGTCGATCGTGAAGTCAAGTATTGTTGTGCCGTTTCCAAGGATCCACTTACCAATGCTACAGTTTGTGTTGTTCTTAAAACTTCTGGAGCAGTAGTTACTAAAGAAGTTGTAGATACTGTAATAAAAAAAGAAATGATTGATCCTATTAATGGTAAAAAAATGAAATCATCTGATTTTATTGAACTTCAAAGAGGATCTCTTGGATTTGCTGATGAACGAACATTATTGACTGCTAAACGTGTTAGACCATCAATGCAAACTTGAAAAATATTTTTTTCTTTTATTTTAAACTGTACATAGTTACAAGAAATTTTTTGTACAAAATCAAATAAAGTAAATTATTCATTTATACTTTTTCTTTTTAATTTCAGTTAGGGATTATTTTTATTTTTTGATTGAGATCATGAACCGATTGGATGCTGGTTCAGTGTGTTAAGCGTTCGCGCACGGGACTGAAGGCCCTGGGTTCGAACCCCGCGAGCGGGATCGTGGATGCGCACTTCTGAGGAGTCCCAGAATAGGGCAAAACGGCCGTCCAGTGCTTCCAGAGTTTCACTGGTGGTCTAACATCAATCGGTTCATGATCTCAATCAAAAACTTAACAATCTCCACAACAACTATACTGATAATTATTTTTATTATTATTATCCTAGTTACGTTTTCAATTCATTTCTATTAATAACATAGTGGTCTACAGTATTACAATTTATTGGATGTTTGAAATTACCAATATATCATATTAATTCGGAACAAATCAGAATTTTAAAGACTCCACATGATTTCTTTCATGGTTTATTGGTATGTATTTTTTTATAACATATTCTAAGTTTGATATAAGTCACTTGTTTATGTAGATTAAAATGTATACTTATTCTACAACTAATTTAGTCGTCTCATTTGTTCATAGTTTTATAGTAATATGATAATGATCAACGTCAAGCAGGGATAGGATTCAATGCTTCGCAGTATGAAAGCTGCTCAAGCATTTACGTCTCCCCGACAGTGCTTGAAGTCACTAACTTCTAGTCTGAGCCATGTTGGTAGATGCAGACTACTTGATTGGTTGGAGACTATGGGTGACACGGCTCAGAGTCGATCACAATGGCGTAGGTGTATACACCCTTCGTCTTCTCTTAAACGGTGAGATTAAAATCGCTTCATATCTTTCTTTCTACCAACTAATTCTTTCTTCCTGTACTATATCCTTATTGCAATCTTTCTTTTATATATCACCACCTCTGAATTTACTACTTCTATGAATCCGGTGTTCATCTTGTTGTGTCAATGAGGTATGGCAACTTGGACCGATGCATATATGTGCCTGGTCATACGTTTTAACTGACTGACTGAATATGATAATGATAGTTTTCATCGAAACATATTAAGCTTGTTATGGATTAGATTTTATTAGGCCTTATGTATAGATTGTAAGGTGGATCCGTAAAGTTGATTCACGAATACATTCGATTAATTTGCATCTTATGTATGATGTGCCTTGAAAAGTTCGTATTGAAATAGAGAACTTATGATAACTAAGTGCAAATTAGTGTGCATGTGATTGGTATAGTTGTGTAATATTCAACTGAGTTGGGGAAGTGTTCATTTGAACTGTTGTTTACGAAATTGAGAGGACGAAAACCGAATGTACGGCGCTTTAACCGGGTTGGTGGATACAGAGAGTCAACCAACGGGAGTTGGAAAACCCTGATTCCAAACCAATGGTGCACATGGGCTCCAGTATCCTGAAGGAACAAATGGCGTATGAACCAATCGTTGGTCACCGGCTAACATGGGACTGCATCTCCTTACGATGCTCCACTGCCTTGTGGATCAGACCTTCAGGTCAAAGGCTCGGGGTGCGGCCCCCTAAGAAAACCACCTGCTTCGGTTTGGGCACCCGGGTAGTATCACAGCCCTCACACATCAAATGAGAACTGTGTGGTGCATATGTATTTGGTGCCTCCTTGTACCAATATCTATGTGTTAAAATAAAATAAATAATCATTTGAACTAAATATGTTGCTTATGTACTTCTGATAACTAGTTCAAATGTTTATTTAACGTATAATGAATGAGGTATATTATAGATAAACTTTGATAATTGGATACCGTTTTAGTCAAATATTTCGATTCAGCTTTATTGAAGTTGACTATGAAGTAATGTTAACCAAAATGTTAGTATTCAGTCACTTGATATCATATTAGCCTATTCGTTCTAATTAGTCGTCATCACAACCTGTATTGTATTTTTAGCAGATCATGGCAACCGGCCAATCAGCCAGTCTATAAGCAACCTATAGCCCGGTACATCTAAGCAACAGTTCGAATTCACATATCACATCATCATAGCAAGATGAAATAATTAAGACATATCCCAACGTATTAGAAATAGTAGTAATGGTAGTGTAAGAGATTGGGTATAGATAATGGGGTTTGAAATAAGGAATGGATTCGTTTAATTGAATGTTAGACATAATTTTCATGCTGAAGATCTAGGCAAAGACATAGCGTGAATCCCCGTCATCCCGAACGGTTCTGAGCTATATCACCGAACATCCCAAACCACTGGTTACGATAATCTCGCCAATCCCAACTTATTAATTTGCACCTACCAGCTCGGCTCAATCTTAGAGCGTATAACTTCATTGACCAATACCACGTTTTGGTTCCCCTCCTCTAGTTTTCTCCCAACCTACCGTTATATCAACAAACTTCGCGCATCAATGTAAACAATGGTTCAGGATACTTAACACATGTCTTAACCACCTTAGACAATGGTGGCGACTACCAATTACAATTATATTCTAATACAACGTCTAGTGCATTAGCTCACTATCAAATGCTCCATGTGAAACAGGTCGATAATATTGTAAAGAAACAAGATAGAGAAAAAGTTAGGTAAATTTTAAGATTTGTACTACTACAAATCGACTAAAAAAACAAAATTGATTTATTTAGTCTAAAAGTTGGGTTTTACTGTTCATACTGAATGCAATAAAAAAGTCAGAATAGCATCCTTGACTTTTGTTTCCAGCCATACTGAAATCACTAAGGACATGTAGAACTCGACAAAATTGTAGTTTTAAATTAGAAACATGCAAGAAATTTTTTTTTCGTACTATGGTCGAAAGCATACTTCTGGATCTCAGCATCGCTAACACAATGTTGCCATCGTATATATAAGAAATCATTTGCAGGCAATGATAATCGGTTACAAAGAGTCTTCACACATCCTCAACTTGAAGAGGTCAGATTTTACAAGTAGTGAACAAGATTAGCTTCACCAACGTGTAGTTTTCATGCATGTAATACTGAAAGTAAACGACCACTGATGTTTATTATACAATATGAGAAGGATAAATATTCCTGTTTCGTTTCTGATTTCCTTAATAAGGTAGGGTAAATGGTCCTTTTTTATAGGTGATAAAATTGAAGCTCTAGACCTGTTCAGTTATCACGGATGAACTAGTATGTGATGACAGGAAAAAATCGTGATCATATCTATTCCATATAAACAGGTTTCACCTCATGGAATGAGTACAGTAGTTGTAGAAGTCCTCAATCGTCAAACTGTTCTTCAATCTGGTAATTTTGATCCATCATCTTGTAACGTTTTCATTACTCTTCCCATTTATTTGTTTTGATATACAACTATACTTTTTTATTAGGATCATATAGAGAATGCAAATAAACGAATTATTTTATCAACATTGTATATTGGAACAGGTCCATTAGAAAATGAATTAGTAAGTAATTTCTTTTGGGTAGTAATAACATTGTGTATCACATTTTACATGTATTTGTTTTGATGGTATATGTGTACGCATGTACGACACTTGACAGGATTGCAACATTATGACATCATCTTGACTGGATAATGTTTCATTTAAAGGATTATTTTACGTAGTCAGATCGAGTCGAGGGAGAATCCCTCTCGACCTATACTCCATGCTGGTTGTCAATCATTACCGAAGTGTACCTACAATTTTACGGTAACCGTTCTTTCATATAGAGTTCAAAACCGGTGTCCATTAGTTTTAAATTTGCGGACGTTACTACTAAGGTAATTGAACCGCCCTTAACTGATAGAACTGATGTGTATCAACCAGCAAGAAACTTGTGTCCAGCATTTCCTGTCGACCACTTTCAACTACAAAGATCTTAAAATAAAATCCACGCGTTTTCAAGTCACCTAAACTGGTAGACATGTAACTTGTAAGCAGAGATGGATGGTGGCTAGCAGCGGAATCCCGAATGCTTATTTCGTCCCATCCAAAACTCATCGGCTGGACGTTTCTAAAACTCAGAGTTGATGTTCACTCCGGGGTTTGAACCCAGTACCGTTCACTCCAACTGCTATCGCATTATCCTATTAGCTACTGAGTAACTTGATTGATAAAATTCGATTAGCACTTAAAGAACTGGACAAACATGATATTTATCACAATACTCAGTGAGCAATCACTGCAAAACTTTTCATTCTAGCTGTGAAACCATCTATATGAAATATGAATTGTCAAATTATTTCGTTTTGCATTTCCATTTTATTTCAGGTTAGTGCACTGACAAAAGCTGTTCGTGAAAGAAATGTAAAACTTACTATTCTAATGGATGCAACACGTGGTCAACGTCCTTGTCTGACAACTAATTATTATACTGCAAATGCAAATAAATTATCATCTACTACAAATCTATTGGAACATCCAATTCCATATTCTTCATGTCATTTTTTAGCTCCACTAACTGCTTTACCTAATGTATCAATCCTATTGTATAGGCATCCATCTCCAAACAGATGGATTCGTTACATATTACCGAATCGTTGGAATGAAATATTCGGTGTACAACATATTAAAGCGTATATATTTGATGATTCAGTTATTATGAGTGGGTAAGTTTACTTATAATACTCAAAATTCTTTGAATCTGTATGAATATGGACTGAGCCAGACAATAAGATGTGGGTGGTGACTTTGGCCAGATAAACCATTCGCTTGTAGTGAACACGGACACCAGTGGGGAACAATCGAATGTATTTAACACAAAATTACAAGACTTGTTAATAAAATCCAACAATCATAAAGTAAATGCTTAATTTGCAAAATGTCCATCAATTGTCTCATAATGACTCAGACTTCATTGTTCTTGCATTTTCATACAAATTGCATTCTGTTTCCATTCTCTACTGTTCGATCTTCTTGTCTCTCTGCTGTCAGACCTTCTGTTCACGACTAACATCATATACTATGATGCGTGCTACTTATATTGATATAAGTAGTATATAACGCGAGTTAAAGAACATAATGTCTGGCAGCAGAAGATGAGGGAAGATCAAGAAAGGAAGAGCGATAACACAATGGAATTTGTAAGAAACCTCATGAACAATGAAATGTGCGACAATGGATTGATGTTTGCAACGGCAACAGTCTGGTTTGATATGATGGAATGATATTTTGCAAATTAACGATTTACTGTATGGTTTTTCTATTTTGCCAAGTAACTCTGTAATTTTGTGCTAGGTACAATTCGGTTGTCCTCACCTGTGTTCCCCTTCACTACAATATTACTTATGTCAATATAAAAAGCACACACCACAGCTTACAATAGGCTTTTCATTCACTTTCTATGTAGATTTGATATATCCTTTCGTCTGTCACGCCTTCGCTGACATATCAGTTTCACTATGATTTTCAAATTATCTGATTACGTGTTTAATAATAAACTGACTAAAGTTAAAATTGAAACTCCTGTATGAACATTATAAGAAGGTTCGCTTGAAATAAATTATAGACTAGACATGAAATATTTCATCAATAGTATGAATTCGAATTTTTCTAATTATACACCCAACTAGTAAATTTGTAGTTACAAAGACTTAGAAGAGAGCGTTTATCACGGAGTAATAGTATCTAGGATACCAAATGCCCTGGTACGGCCGTGAGTGGGGAGAGTCAGCTCTCCCTCTTTCAAATGCTCTCACATGGCCACGTGCATCCAACTACTGCCAGAGAAGTCAGACTCACTGCCTTCTCGCGTCATTAATGTTGTTTACGAAATCGAGAGAACGAAAAACGAGTGTCCAACACTTTAACCGAGTTGGCGGACAGGGAGAGTCTACCTAGGAGTTAGAAGACCCTAATTTCAAACCAATGGTGCAAATGGGCTTTAGTATTCTGAAGGAACAAATGGCGTATGAACCAATCGTTGGTCACCGACTACCAGATGTAGACTACCTGGTTATGGACCGCGAGATGATAGCAGCCGATTGTTAGAGACCTTGGATGACATGGCTCAAAATCGTTTGCCATGGCGCAAGTGCATCCACTCTTTGTGTTCTCCCAAATTCTAATCTTCTGAATTCATGTCCCTTATTTTCTTTCTAAATTTATTTCACTATATTACACTCCTTGAATAACATCTTGGAACCCTAATCTTTCCGATTACTGCTTATACTCTTACTACCTCTACCACTACGGAATTTGAGTCGATAACTGCATCTCTGTGCTAATGTGGTATGACAACTCGAACTGATGTAGGTACGTACGAAGTTCTACATTGTTACTGACTGACCATGGGACTGCATCTCCTGACGTTGCTTCACTGTCTTATGGATCAGACGTTTAGGTGGAAGGCTCCGAATATGACACCCTAAGAAACCCATCTCTTTCGGTCTGGGCACTCGGTCAGTATCTAAGCCCTTACACAAACTGAATGACTTGTGTGGCACATATCTGTTTGTTACCTCCTTGTACCAATGTTGATATGTTTAAATAAATAAATAAATACCTAATGATTATCTAACTAAACTCATTTCAGAATTGTAACAAACTATCTATCTCCAATCATCATTTATTCTATATACTTTTTTTTTTTCTATTCTAAATTTTTTTAGGGCAAATTTAAGTCATGAATATTTTACCAATCGACAAGATCGTATATGGATATTTAAAAATTTTCCAAATTTAGCCAATTTTTATTCTGATTTAATTCATAATGTTATTAGTAAATTTTGTTATACACTATGCTCAAATGGTAGTTTAATAGCTAATCATTATGATATTGTTTCAGGTAAGTAATTGAATGAATTTATTGATTGTTAAGTATTGTTCATTTGTTTCCATGTTTACTTGAATGATGAGTATATTTCAATTCATTAGATCATCACGCGTATACAGCCTCTGCCAGGGAAGTTCTACTCATTGCTTTCTCGTGGCGGGAGTGTTGTTTACGAAAATGAGAGGACAAAAAGCGAATGTCCGGCGCTTTAACCAGATCCCAAGCCAATGGTGCACATGGGCTTTAGTATCGTGCGGGAAAAAATGGCGTATGAACCAATCGTTGGTCACTGGCTACCATGTGACTGCATCTCCTCACGATGCTCCACTGCCTTGTGGGTTAGAACTTCAGGTCAAAGGCTCGGGGTATGGTCTCCTAAGAAAACCACTTGCGTCGGTCTGGGCAACCGGTCAGTATCACAGCCCATACACACAAATATGGTGTGGCGCATACATATTTGCTGTCCTCTTGTACCAATATATATGTGTTCAAATAAATAATATAAATAAACATTAGATCATGTTATCAAGTGGAATGTTCTTTTTCTTCTTTTTTTTAAACTTCCATTTACATTATTATTCTCATCACCACTTTCATTGTACAATAAATTAAGACAGATTTAATATTCCAATCGATGAATATTTGTAATAACCTTTTAATGAGTTCGTGCTACGGTGATATTACTATAAAATACCGATATTATCCAATCAAGGTAACCTGTAATTAGTAAACGTGTGAAGACAAACATGTTCAGCTACACTCATTATAAGAGTCTAGTGTAATATAATTAAATTCATTCTACTTACTGGTTACTTTGTAATGTTCTCTATTCACTGTTGTTGTAGTCTATATCTGGGTTCTTGATTGATCGACCAATCGTACTAGTGAGCGATTGATTAAGTGTTTAAACTAATAACGTACATAATGTCAATTCTTTTTACATTGCAACAAATCTATGTATAAACGGTTTGTTTTATCGGTACTGATTGTCATTATTTGTATTCATTCAGTGGTCTTCAGTGCTATTAGAGGTATGAGAGTGGTTATCACTTCCCGGTGACCCACACCGTGGACGGGTTCTTCTGTAGGTTCCTGAAAAGGAAATTGGATTAGAGGTGGTCTTAGTGACCTGAGAACGTGACCAAGGGACAACTGTTTGAGGTCTGTCACACACGACCTTTTCATGAGTAATGTCTGTGTTAGCTCCGTACTTGTTGAGATGTTACCGCCAGAGACGGATATCCGTGAGATAAGGCGAGGTGTGCATTTTTAGTGTTGACCTTTTCTAACCCCATCCCTCCTTATGGGAAGGCAGTATCGCTGTCATGCTGGTTGTCTGAAGGAAACACCTTACTGCTATCACACCTCTGTACAGTCAGCAGTACGACTTCGCCTTTGGACCTTGGGTTTGTTGCTTTTAGTCCTACTGCTCTCCAACCGACCTATCTGATATGGTAGGATCTTGAGGAACGGTTGTTGCAGGCAGTATAGCTCGGTTGCTTCATCACGATAGGCAAGCCCGACCACCACGTCAAGGTAGCAACAACGGTCGGGCATTATTTGTATTGGTCTTGTTTATCACTACCACGATGCACAATGTTGTGACTAGTGTTGGAGACGGTTGGAAGAAAGTCAGGTCTGAGCCATATTAGTAGATGCAGAGTACTTGGTTGAGGATCACGTGACTATCGTAACCAATGGTTGGAGACTGTTGGTAACATCACTCAGAATCGATCACAATGGTGTAGTAGGTGTCTTCCCTTAAACCGTGAGATTAAAATTACTTCTTTCTTTTATACACTACTACCACTGACGTGACTACTTCTATGAATTTGGTGTTCATCTTGTTGTACTAATGTGGTATGGCAACTTGAACCGATGCACATATATATGCCTGGTCCTAAGTTGTAGCTGACTAAGGGCTTTTTAAAAAATAAACAATTCCTTATTACTTTTATGTTTTTGTTTGCCTTCCTTTTCTATCGCTTACTCTTTTTTTGTTGTTCAAAACATTTTTTCTTCTAGCTAGTTCATCTTCATTTCGACAACAATTTCATGATGCATTATCTACATTTCTAATCAATAAATATCAAGATAGTATCAATCATTATAAATTGAATCCAATAAATAAATCAATAAATGATACTTATATAATTCCATTATTACAATATGGTTATTGTAATATTCAATATGAGAAAAAATTTATGCAATCATTATTTCAATATGTTACGTCATCATCATCATCATCTTCTTCGTCGTCGTCATCATCGTCATCGTCGTCGTTATCTGATCCAATTCATCCTGAATCTTTCAAATTATTCTTAGCATCAGGTTATTTTAATTTAACAAAATTATATGAGAAATTATTTTTTAACATGTTAAATTCAACAATAAATACACCTATTCATTTATTATGTGCTTCACCAATGGTAAATGAAAACATTCTTTTTCTCTTTCTCTTTTTATATTATATTTCAATTAGTCTTTATTGTCATATAGAGAGTTACCTTGTCATGTATTCCTTTAGTAAATAATAATGCGTTAGAGTTGGAAGTAATAAAGGTGGTACCTAGGTTTAAGTCTCAGTATAAATGATCAATACGATGATCCAGGTAAATCCAATTGATGACTACTAGTCTTATACAAGACGAAATGTATGTCATTGGTTGTGTATTGCTAGTCAAAACCTAAAATTTTTTATATCAGTATAGGGTTGTGGAGATTATTAAGTTATTGATTGAGATCATGAACCGATTGATGTTAGACCATCATTGAAAACTTGAAAGCACTGGACATCGGTCTTGTCCTATTGTGGGACTCGTCGACAGTGCGTATCCACGATCCTGCTCGCGAGATTCGAATTCAGAGCCTTTAGTCTCGTGCACGAACGCTTAACCTACTAGACCAGTAAGCCGGCCGTTATCCAACGGTGTCGCGCGACCATCTTCCCACAATAGGACAAAACGGCCGTCCAGTGCTTTCAGGTTTTCACTGGTGGTCTAACATCAATCGGTTCATGATCTCAATCAATAAAATTTTATAATCCTTTGTTTTGTTTCCCTATTTTATGTTTATCGTCAAGTTAGTGTAGTTTCTTCATTGAAAATGAGATTCACTAGGTAGTAATTAGTTACAGTAATAATAGCTGCAGAATATTGAAATTAATGATTGAGTCGACGGTTATAAGCTTTTAATCCGGTTCCATCTATTTCACTTAAGGCAACTGGATAATACTATTATCGATCTTACAAAAACAATGGAGCTTAAAGCTGAATGCGTAGAGTTTTAGTTAGCAAATGAGTTTATTATTCTTATTACAGGTTGAAACAAATTTGGAATCTGTAAGTTGTATTTGTCATGGATAGGGTACCATTGAAACCAGAAAAGATTAGGGACATCTTTCATCCTTGTATGGAAGTCCTCAGAAGTGCACATCCATGACACCAACAGAGATCGGACTTAGAACTTCTAGGTATTACGGTGAAGCCTTGACCATTAGAACTACTAGGTTGGTATTCTATCGTATAATTTCAACCCCAATCAACTTAAGATATAGAGCGACAACCATCTAATGCCGTATCATAAAAAAACGGTTGTCCAGTGCTTCTTGTTCTCTAATGTCACCTCACCCGATATTAATCTGTGACAAATACAGCCAATAAATCAGACTAATCTCCACAAAACCTCTTCAGTTATATTTGGAAATTGTTAAACCCAATAGTTGAAATCTGTATACTTCAATGAATAATTCACTAGTTTGTTATAGTGGCTGGCATCGATGTCCTGAATGCGGTGAGACTATAATTTATAAATGACTTTCGAGCGACGCTAGACTGACCTTGGGGTCGTCCACCTAACAATCAGGACCAAATGATGGTTATAAATTAGTGTGAGAAATTTGAATTATGGTTTACAGTTGGTGGTTACGGTTAGGAATTAGATTTAGGGTTTTCATCACAAACTGACATTAGCTATAGTGCCAAGACTCTATTTAGCTAAATGAATGAGTGAATTTTGCGCCAAAATCCGAGACCTGTTATCTTATACCTGATTGGTTCGTCCATAAATCATAGTCTCACCTTATTAATTTCTAATCTCACAAAATGTGTACTATGATACTTTTGGCTTCTAGTTCTAACAGATATATATATATTAATGTCCCACTGATCTGACTCTCATTTGGATGGACGTATGAATGTGCTATGAACATAAATCTTCCATTCAACTCCATATATTACCTAGGCTAACCCTGTTTTTGACAGTGGTGATAGGATGCCAAATACAGGTTGCGTTGTATGAACTTATTTTATATACTCATTCATCCAAACAGGCATTCAGAATGAAAGGGGGAAAGCAAAGTGGAGATAGCAAGTGTCCCAACTCGTTTTGATGAAGCGTGACTCAATTTTTATAACCAAATAAAAGTAAACCAAAGACGTGATGAATAGGGTAAGCGGTACGCACACATATCCTCATACAAAAACAGTCAAGGTTATAGAAGTGAATAGTTGACCAAGTCAAAATGTGACTTGAAAATAAAGCATAAGTTAGTCTGTCAGGACGCTAGAATCACCTATATGGGCTTGTCACGGTACTAGACACTACAATGTATATATGGAGAGAGAGTTATCCAACTCGTGTACAACACAAAAATCTTAATTATTATTCAGTCAATGTATTAAGAAGTTTCAATGGTTAAGACCATGAGTCAGTTGAAGCTAGACCACCATGGAAAACCTAGAAGCACCGGACGGCCGTCTCGTCCTATTGCGGGACTCCTCAGCAGTGCTCATCCACGACCTCGCCTCCTGCTAGATTCGAACCCAGGACCTACTGGTTTCGCGCGCGAGCACTTAACCACTAGACCACTGAGCTGGCATCCAACGGTGTTAATGTCTAACTTCAATTAATCCACGAGATTGAGCGACACATCCACCATTGTCATCAGTGAGTTACAGTCTCACAACAGACCTGGTCGAACTCCACTGGTCACCACTTCTCACTAGAACTCCAGGATATACCTCTTGAAGCCAGTCACTAGTGAGCATATGTTGATTAATATCAGATGGGTTTTGTGGATATGATAGTAATTTCAATGGTTGAGATCATGAGTCAATTGAAGCTAGACCACCATGGAAACCGTGGAAGCACTGGACATCCATTTCGTCCTATTGAAATTACTATAATATCCACAAAACCCATCTGGTATTAAGAAATGACTGATATAATTTATGACTTATTTTAAGCAAAATAGAAAGAAAATAGATTCTTATTGAAATATGAGATTCATTATATCTGGATAAAATAAACATATTCGCATCAATCTTAAATCATTTAAACACTACACAAACGTATGTTCAATGAGATTCTTCAAAAGTTAAAAGCTGTTTGTCACTACTATTTCGAACTTCGTGTACAAAACCCAAATGATTATCTTAGTTTTGATTGATTTGACAATGTTAGATAGTTTCATCTTAAGAGTATGCTACTTCAGATATTTAATTTCTAATCAGTTAGATAACATGAGTTTGAAATATCTTCTAGAATTCTTATTAGGAAGTTGTTACCATTTAATTCTATAATTAAGGTAGGTCAAATGATTTAGTCGAATTCTAAATTCAATTGGTGTTATTTTTACTTGTATCTTCCCATTGTTATTTAAGACCGTAATTAATCAGTCTCTTGTTGGCATATGTGCATCCTGTGAGGATTGCGTCGATATTGGCATAAGTTACAAGCATTTTAAGAAAAGATGGATATTGGCTAGCATTGGAATCCATGACGCGCGTTTCGTCCTACGTAGAACTCGTCAACTGGATGTACCTGCATCCTAGCAGTTGATGTTCACGGTATTGGGTTGGAATCCCGGAGAGAACATCAACCCTTGGATGCAGGTACATCCAGCTGACGAGTCCCAAATAAGACGAAACGCGTGTCCTGGATTTCACTGCTAGTCACTATCCATCTTTGCGTAGTCGAATTCTACTTATGTTAGAAAATTATTTATAAGGGGTAATTGTTTTTTTTTGTAAAATCTTTTCATTTAAAGGCTGATTTTTACTCAGTATGCGTTAGGAATTATATATTTGTATTAATCAATATCATAATTACACCTATTTCAGGCTAATGGATTTCTCAAATCGAAAGGTGTTTCCGGTTATATACCATTAGCTTATAGAGAAGCACTTATACAATTGCTTCAATTATTTCATACTACTAAATTCAATTCTAGTAATATCAATGTTTATGAATATACTAGACCAGAATGGACATTTCATGCTAAAGGTTTATGGATTGAAAGTGTCGATAATGATGATAATAAGAATACTGATGATGATCATCATCATCTTTCATACAGTTTATCTCTAGTTGGTTCATCGAATTTCAGTTATCGTTCTTTAAATCGTGATTTAGAAAGTCAATTATGTATTATTACAACGAATAGTAATTTATGTCAATCTATTTATCATGAAAGATGTCATATTTTCTCATCGATTTATTGTTCTCCTGTCACTTTAAATCAATTAATTTATCAAACAGAATATCGTTTACCTGTATATATGAGATTTATACTACCAATATTTCGTTGGTATATGTAAATTATTATTTATTCTCGATTTTCATATATTAGTTTCATTGTGGTTTTTTCTTTTCTTTAAAAGTTTAGTCACTAACGGATCAAATAACAGTTAAGATTAAGTGAAATTACCATCATTGTAGATCAATTATCATATTTGTGTACCATGAACGACAGCGGTCCTCCCACGCATTAACCATTTACTTATTTGAACACATAAATACTGGTACAAAGAGGCACCAAATAACATATGCGCCACACAAATCTCATTTGATATGTGTGAGGGCTGTGATACTGTCCGGGTGTCCAAACCGAAGCAGTTGGTTTTCTTAGGGGACAACATCCGGAGCCTTCGACCTAAAGGTTTGATCCACAAGGCAGTGGAGCAACGTCAGGAGATGCAGTCCTATGGTAGCCAGTGACCAACAATAGGTTCATACGTCATTTGTTCCCTCAGGATCCTGTAGTCCATGTGCACCATTGGTTCGGAATGAAGGTTTTCCAACTCCCGTTGGTTGACTCTCCGTGTTCACCAACCTGGTTAAAGCGCCGGACATTCGATTTTCGTCCTCTCAATTTCGGAAACAACAATAGTGCCGCGAGAAGGCAGTGAGAAAGACTTCTCTGGCAGAGACTATATACACGTGGCCATGTGAGGGCGTTTGGAGAGGGAGAGCTGACTCTCCCCACTCTCGGCCGTATTTGGGGGTTCACCCAATAACTAGAAAATGTTTTTTCACTTACTAATTAAGATGGTAATAGTTTTGTGTCAAATTCCATCGGAAGTTTTTTCTACAGTAAATGATGATATAAAATTATCTTTTTTTTTTCCTGCAGTTGATTTATATGATGAATAATCATCAATTTAGATTTCCAGTAGTCGATTCATATTTATCACTATCTCCAATGTGTTTAAGCTTTTCATAGAGGTAATTATCTCCCCCACCCCGAAAATGCCCTGGTATAGCCGAGAGTGGGGAGAGTCCGCTCTCCCACTCGAAATGCTCTCACATGACCACGTGCATACAGCCACTGCCAGAGAAGTCCTACTCACTGCCTTCTCACGGCTGTTTACGAAATTGAGAGGACGAAAAGCGAATATCCTGCACTTTAACTGGGTTGATGGATGCTTTGTTTGAAGGGATTACGAATTCACCTAGTCTGCGAACGGAACAAACACTCTGTGACCGAAGACCAATAAGCTAGCTATTCTGATGCGTCCCAGCCCCGCTAACTAAAGAGAAAAGTCCAAATTCGAAACAGGGAAATATATTCCGCAAGCAGCCAGAAGCGCGAGCAATCCCGATATAACAGTGAACACGGAGAGTCCACCTAGGGGAGTTGGAAAACTTTGAATACAAACCAATAGTGCACATGAGCTCCAGTATCCTGTAGGAACAAATGGCGTATGAACTATTTCTTGGTCACCGGCTACCATGAGACTGCGTCTCCTGACGTTGCTCCACTGCCTCATGAATCAGACGTTTAAGGCGAAGGCTCCGGATGTGGCCCTCTAAGAAAACCACCTGCTTCCGTCTGGGCGTTCAGTCAGTATAACAACCCACACACAAATCAAACGACTTATGTGGCGCCTATGTATTCGGTGCCCATTTGTACCAATATTTATATGGTCAAATAAATAACTTATCGTCCTATACCAGATCACTTGGTTTAAATTTCCCTTTTTGTTTTTTTGTCAATGTATTCCACCAATTTAAATGGAATATTGTAATTGTACATTTAAAAGTTATATATTATCTAATCAAATATACACTCAGAGAATATTTGGCAGATTATAGTGTGGAATATATCTGAGTTTTACCAATTTCTATTAAAGATCCTTTTACTGATTTTGCATTGTGTATAATAAGCATAATCCCATTAGGTGACAACATAAAATGTAGTATTTGTGAAACCGTTGAGCATAAATCGAAGAATGTTTACGGTGACTTTTATATGTGCCAAATATAAGGTAACGCATCATGATCTATCTGCACTAACGCTTAGTTTAGGATTAATGTAGTGGAGTGGTTGAGTATGTAGAAAGTTCCACATATCTAGGAAGATTCGGTGTCATTTAGTAATCCGTTTTTTCATAATCAACTTAGGACTTGATATATATTCCATTCTAGGTTGCAAATCTACAGTCCCAGTGAGGTGTTTAGGTTTTCATCAATGAGCATAGAAGGTGTTAGTAGACCACAAATACACTAGATGTCTTTGTAAAGTAATAAATTACTTGATGAGATTGTGAATCTTCATCGACTGAGATGGTTGGGCCACGTGTTGCGTATGCCTGAACACCGATTACCACGACGCGCAACGCTAACTGGTGTTGGAGACGGTTGGAAGAAAGTTAGGGACAGCCAAATAAAAACGTGGCAGTCCTTGAAGTCACTAACTTCTAGTCTGAGCCATGTTGGTAGATGCAGACTACTTGGTTGGGGTCCGCGTGACTATCGTAACCAATAGTTGGAGACTATGGGTGACATGGCTCAGAATCGATCACAATGGCGTCGGTGTATACACTCTCTATCTTCCCTTAAACTAAGAGATTAAAATCGCTTCATATCTTTCTTTCTACGAACTAATTCCTTCTTCTTATACACAATCTCACTTTTGTACATTACTACCATTGAAGTGACTACTTCTATGAAGTTGGTGTTCATCTTGTTGTGCTAATGAGGTATGGCAACTTGGACCGATGCACATATGTACCTGGTCCTACATTGTACTTGACTGCGTGAAAGTTGGCTAAATGTGGTGAAACCATCTAGTGAGCAGAGTTGAATTGTGGTGGAAAGTATTAAGGGTTAAAAGTACCCATAACTATAGCGATCAATAGCAGTTTGCCTCAAACAACTGTTGTTGATTTCTCCCGAAATCTTGTCACGGATTCAGAAAGCTCGGTTAGAGTTAACCAGCTTAACTCACTTATGGCGTAGTCGAGATTTCCGTCTCTCAACCAAGTAGCGTGTGTATTCAGAATTCTGCTCTGTTCCACTTTAGAGTTGTGAAACACGGTCAATGAAAGTAGATATTCGTCGGTTCTTGAGCATAGATGTCTTCGAAGAATTGCTCGAATGTCGTGGAATGACCGAATGAGAGATACTGAGGTTAGGCATAAGGTAGTTGGCAAGTCGCTCGATGAGGCAGTGAATATGTATTACGTATGTCCATCTACTGACTACCTCAACGCGCAATGATGGTTAGTATAGTAGATCGGAAAGCTAGGAGAGGCCAAACCAAAACGTGACATCAGTCCATGAGGTCATTGACTAAAGACGTGAGTAGGTATGTGCATGGTATTTGATTGAAGTCCGCTACTTGTGGCCGTTGAAATCACCGAGAATCGTTCACAGGTCAATCCATTCTTTATCTTCCTGTTGAGTTACAGTACTGCTTCATACATACCTTTTAACTCGGTCCTTTTAAACCAACTTCCCAAGATATAGTTTTTCTTATCATTGCTACTACATCGTTCCGATTTCTTTATTTTCATTTCATCGTGCTAACCAATATGGCAACTTTGGTTAATGCACATCTGTGTCATTCTCTATGTTGATGTCTAATTTAAACACCCATCACTTTGATTCCGTCTGATATTGGTGTGCCTGCATCCAGTTAATTGCGAATCAATGGAAATTGTATTCTTATAAATATGATTGTTACGCAAGATCATCTCATTACTATTCGGTACATGTGTCCAACTCTCGTTTTCGACTAACTAACTATACCCACTTCATATATTTATACTTCATAAGTAGATGAAGTGTTAAATGTCATGTTTTACTTGTCTTGTGGTGTATGCTACTTATGTCTGTCGACATGATGAGGTTATGAATCTTCATCGACTGAGATGGTTGGGCCACATGTTACGTATGCCTGAACACCGATTACCACGACGTGCAATGCTATCCGGTATTGGAGATGGTTGGAAGAAAGTTAGGGGCGGCCAAACTAAAACGTGGCATCGGTGCTTGAAGTCACTAACTTCTAGTCTGAGCCATGTTGGTAGATGCAGACTACTTGGTTGGGGTCCGCGTGACTATCGTAACCAATGGTTGGAGACTCTTGGTGACATGGCTCAGAATCGATCACAATGGCGTTGGTGTATAACACTGTCTGTCTTCCCTTAAACTAAGAGATTAAAATCGCTTCATATCTTTCTTTCTACGAACCAATTCTTTCTTCTTGTACTATATCTCTATATGCAATCTTTCTCTTACATATTACTACCTTTGACTTAACCACTGCTATGAATCCGGTGTTGATCTTGTTGTGCTGATGCGGTATGGCAACCTGGACCGATGCACATATGTGCCTGGTCCTACGTTGTAGCTGACTGACTGACTGTCGACATAAGTAAGATATAACACCAGTCGGAAGTGGAAGACTTAACAGAAGTCTTTGAAGAGAACGGAAACGGAATTAGAAAGGAATTGTGAGTCAGAAGAATCATACAGAATGTAAAAGAAATGACAGAAATTTGCAATTGAAGTATTCAATGGATGGTTCTCATATTTTACCAAGATACTCAATCCACACTTGTATTCTTGTTCACAACAGTTTTGGCTAGTTGATATTCCTAGACTTTCATACGACAGTCTAAAGTACGAGTTTGAAAAGAATGCCTGTAAATAAAACAAAGTGGTTAATTACCTTATAAATTCTAAGCAATGAGAATTGGACAGTTAATTAGTTTGTGAATTGAAGTGATGGCTTTTATACATTACAAATTTCAATACATTACTTCCTTCTCGATATCCTATACTAATCCAATAAGATAGGAAGAACCTGAGGATGAATCAATCAAAACATGAAATCAGTTCATAGAACAATTTATTTATTTGATCGAAGCTAAAGTTATCATGGTGTTGAATGTCATCCGTTGAAAAGTAACTGAAATGGTTCCTGACCGTTGTTGCTACTTTGATGTGGTGGTCGGACGGAGGTTGATTATGAATACAGTGGTCTTGAGTGCTGTTAGAGGTATGAGGGCGATTGTCATTTCCCGGTTGC